ATATGACACACCACACGTGTATACAAATAGTACAAACAACCTCTCCGATCATGTCTTGGTGGAATTCCTTTGAAGAATTGCAGGACTTACACCAGTACGCCTACAACCCTTCACAGGTTGACGATTGTAAGTTGTGGAATGTACGGACACAAACAAGATTAACCAACAATTACGATAATTGGAACTCACACAATTATTTAACACAAACATATGTACAATCACTACATCAAATGTTGTGGATTCTGGCATGACAAACTACCCTTGAAGAACTGTAGGACTTACAGCAGTACGCCTACATTCCTTCTCAGGTTGATGATCCAAGTGGAAGTCGTCCGGACACAAACAGAATTACCAACAGCTAGATGATAAATGATACCAATTCAGTATATACAATATGAACATATGTACAAAATCACACACCAAGCACATTGGACTGCTCATTGATGCGCTACCCTTTGAAGAATTGTAGGACTTACAGCAGTACGCCTACAACCCTTCTCAGGTTGACGCTCTAGGTTGGAAAATCGTCGCAGAGTTCATTTGCTAACTTCCTTCTATCAGCTATATCCTCAAATCTGAACGGCAACACGCTCGTGTCATTGTATCGTAGAATATAGATGACTAACAAACACACGAAGTATCTGGTCAACCAAGCGTAGGCACAGAGTAATTTACACCAAAGATAATAGCATTCAAATAGTAACTTGAAACTAGAAATGCCTTTATTCGTGCAAGTCAATTTAACAAATACTCTTTCGTTTACACTTGGCTTATCCTCACTAAACTGAGCAATATCTTTCGTCCTTTCAAATACACGAGTACCATCATAGTCATTGCTGAAGATACTTGAGTTGATGGGCGACTGTTTCATTGTGGATGACAGCACCAACGACGACTGATTGATACCAGTTGATGAAGTTAGCGGTGGATCAAAAGCTGTTGTTGCTCGGCTTTCAGAAGTTTGTCTACCTGCAAGACCACCACCACTGCTGTCTTTCACTATCAGCTCAGGTTTAGCACTGGCATCTGATGATAGATGGGCTACATGCTGATCAATCACACTGACGGTCTCACAAGTATGCGTGCCTTCTGCAACTGAACCTGCATTTATTTCTACTTCACGTTCAAGTTGTACAGAACCCTTGTTCAACTTAGCAGTAGTAGGCATATCCCTCATCTCATCATGATCAACCAAAGACAACTGTGAAGTATCATGATCATTACCACAAATATTCAATTTACCGTTGAGTTCATCATTTTCAAACTCTTTAATAACAGAAGTAGTCAATTTTGGTTCCTCCTCACAAATCATTAAAGGTTTTATAACTTCACTCTGACTAGATATACTTTGTAAACTTTTGGAGTCAGAACTGGACTCTGAAGCAGCAACTCTATTCTGTGACACTCTATTCAACAATGGCTTACCAGTTGCAACTACAGACTTCTTCACCGCACCGTTATCGTCACACAATTCGGAGTCAGACCTGGAGTTTACATTTAGCTTATCACTGAACTTGCTTACTGGTTCACAGTTCACCTTTGTATGCACCTCTTGCAAACGTGTAAAACACAACCGTGTTTGTCTTGCATCTTGTAACTCATCTGTTGAGGATGTACTACGTATCCTGTTACACTCACTAGGTCTATATGCATTACTAGACATCATGGAGACTTCTCGATATCCACCTCTCTGAGGCCTATTCGTCATCAATGATTGCATTTTGCTCTCAGACTGCTCTATTCTAGGGGTGAGATTCAATATACTGGCAAACTTGCTCATAGATTGATTGACACTAGTATTTACCAGTTTCAGGATATCATCAAACTTTGGCTCGATACCCTCATCCTCCATACGGGAGCTTATCTTCACCCACTTCCTTTGCAGTCGAGTAGGTAGGCGTCTTGCTATTACTTCTAGTATAAAACTCGAGTTGAGGTCACTCATGCGATTCATCGAAATCATTCCATTCTTGTAAATTAGCAAATTATCTAAAAACTCAGTGAGTGCCTGGGAGTCATCCTGTAATTGACCACCATTACCCTTAACAACCTCGAATAATTTCCCTGCAATCATCGAAGGTCTTCCAAACCTTTGACGTAATATGCTTATAGCCTCATCGTAGCCCTCTTTTGGCTTCATAAACTTACAGCACTGTATAGCTCTTGCAGCATCTCCAGTGCAATATCTCATCAAATGCATTAACTTCAATTCATCACTTAATAAAAAACCACTCAACATGATCTCAAACTCCTTTACAAATTGTAAATAATCAGCCGGGTTTCCATCGAAACACCGTGGTTCAAATTTAGGGAGTTTGATGTTCCTATTATCCCTGAACGGCGAAACAGTAACATCAACCATGTCATGCTTAACATCAGACACATCGTTACAAGTAACAGACAAGTCACCATGACTTACTTTCCTGTTTGCATCCAAGACACTCTGTCCCTTCTTTGACCCAGGCATTGTTGAACTTGACCCAATTCCAAAAACGTTCCAGATATTGCTTGTTCAAAGAGGACTTGACCGGCACCAGGAAAGATGAACGGTGACTATCCAAACTGTTACCAGCTATCTGAATCCGCCAGAATCTGTTTCTACCATCAGAAACTGTCAGTCACGTCTCATAAACCGTTAATGCCCAGCTCTTGCTACGCTCGGGCTCACGCTGTCGCTTGAAGTTTCTCAGAAACGCTTAGTAATAACGGACACACAAACCAAAACACCAATTGTTGACTTGAGTATTCTGTATTGTTACACCAACATATAAATGACGTATGACTAAGGTCTGTGAACAAATATTACAATAATAAATCACAATATTACTTCTGACGGTTTATTGCTGACTTCTTTCTGAACAGCGACCGATGAGACGATGACTGTCGTATTGATGCCTCCGCGAAAATCGGGGAAGTTGATTTTGAGCAAACAACCATGAATTGATCGTTCAATCTTCAACTCCATTGACAGCGTCTTTTCCAGAGGGGTTCTAATCTTAGTCTTTCGCATCGCTCATGGTATTCCGAGCGACTTTATTGCATATCCTCTCAATGACGCTTGTTGCTATGTTGCTATTGGTTGCAAGTGGCCTTGATTTTGGGGGAAGATATAACTGATGTAATATTGCGATTCCATAGACATAACTCAGGCTCATAGATGAAAGGAAGTTAATATCCTGGAATAAGGACAATTGTCCTTAAATTGTTCATAAGGTAATGAGAACATTATTTTTCAGTTTATTTGTATATATATTATTGTGCATCGAGTTGCACTGAGTTCCTAGTGCAACTCTATGTAACTGGATTTACATAAAGTAGAACATGCTCCTGTTTTTAGGATAAAAAAGATGATTCTTTTCATTATTGTAGCAATAAAGAATGGAATTTCTCCAACCTCAGTGTTATTTAATTGAAGTTTTAATCTCTGTAGGCCCTTAAAGGAATAAATTCGGCACCGAGAACCCCTATGGAAACCGAAAGTACTTTTAGTTTACTAAATCTTACTGACTTGCTTTATAAATTTGATATTTGTCAAGTGTTCACTTGAAATCTGCTGGAGTATTCAGTAAAGTAAAAGTTGTAGTGCATAATTCACAGACTTGTTGTAGTCATTGGTACTGCCAGGACACCGCTTACTCGTTTAATGAAGCCGAAATATCCAATTTTCGCTTTATTGAGGAAACGCTATATTGCCTGCAAAAGTAGTGTGTCAGTTTATGAGTTTCACAAAGCCTACAGAATGTTTTCTATTCAGTAATTACTGTTTGTGAATTATCCGAGCAAACACATTTCCGAGTGGGATGTAACACAAGGCTGAATTCTTAAACTGTCATCCTTATATCAGTTCAATTCGATCACACATGTATTAATAGGATAGTCTTTAATTGACTTTAGTGGCTTATCAGGGAATAGTCTCATCAACTTGCAGTTTGCTGATGATGTTGTCCACCTAGACTATGAGAAGTAACCCCTGATGCTGTAAAATATGAAAAGAATACCGGTGTTTGATTATAGGTGTCTGTGTTCTATCTCATGAGTAAAGCAGTATTATATGGCGAGTGCTGTTGAGGTTACGCATAAATGTTTAGGTGGGGAGGGTAAGTTAGTCTTCGAGGTAGGGAAGCTGAATAGGTTGAGATGGCTAGAACACGTGCTGGCATACCAAGCCATTGCCTTCCTCCAGGAACAATGCTAGCCAGCACATGATAAGGTTTAAAATGTGTTTGGGTCGGTCAGATGAAAAACGTGTATGGGTTCATAAAATCGTTGACAGTCAACTGGAAGAACTTTTGGTTTATGTTTTCCTCTTCGGTGCATCCAAAAAAAGTTAGTTCAAACATTATCGTTACCTTGGCCAGCTAGGTTTGAATGATCCTGAATTTTTGTGGAGTTTTCCTAATTTTAATTGATATTCTATTTCCTACTGTATCTTTATTATTATTATTATTATAATTTAAGCCTCTTTAATGAACTGTAATTCCTTTGTGGTCATACTTTACAAATCGATATTATTTAGAGAACACGCCAATATTGTTATTGACTACTAATCTAGAATATATTCTATTCTAGAATATTCTATGTTATATATATATATATATATATATATATATATATATATATATATATATATATACAAGTAATATAAATGATTTATGCTATGGAAAGCATGTTGTATTAATGCCTACCTGCTCGTAATGTCCTGCAGTGAATAGCATAGATTATGCCACATCGAACTATTTACTCGCTAGGAGTAGATGAGTAGTTGTCCAGCACTGTGAATTTACTAGCCCAATCTTAGTCTGTTGTGTGCTGAGATTTCTTCGCTACTACAGCTTGATTCTACTGGTTTGTCTTCGACTGTCTGTTTAGTCTTTTAAAGCTTGTATCTAAGTTTTAACTTGACTACTTGACTGTGAGACGGTCAAAACATGTTAATGCTTGTCTTTTTTTAAGAAAAACTTGTATTGGTTTTTGTGATCTACAGTTATTTCCAGTTACAGATGTTCAATACTGCCTTCTCTCTTGATATATATCCAGGTAATTTACAAGCACCTTGTGGTTTTGACAAATTTAGCTATTCCTGGCGATCACGTCTTGGTACTGTATTTCATGAATCTCACGGTAAACATTATACGAATGGTGGATATAAAAAGGATGATGTCATCGGCTGTTTAATACACTTGCCGTCAACAGTTGGCCCTTTCACACCGATAGAAAATCAAGCTTCAAAATCTTCCACACCTCAATTGATGAATACATTTTCTCCCATGATGGATGACGTTCATTCTAGCATAAGTGGTACGCTGAACTCAACAGATTCAAGGAAATGTAATAATAATTCACATGCACCTACTTTTCTTCCTGAAACTTACAAAGACCGTGTAAGTGACTTGATAGATTTACCAAATTATGTCTTTAAAAAAATCAATTTTGAAAGTTTCGTTGGTGTATGTGGTGAATTCACTTTGAGCCGAAATCGTGTGGCTGAATGCAATCCGATTTATCTGTCCAGCTACAGGCACAGGCAGCGCAAATTATGATTTCAAAGGTAAGGTTGAGATTATTGGACATCTACTGGCACTACTGGCATGACGGAGTTTTGGATTTTCAATACCACTGTCAAGTCAATGCTCCCATATATGCTTCAGAGATTTAGTGCATTACGAAAAAGACTCCCAACAAGCTGCTTTCGCTTGATGCTGAAGATCTGATGGTTAGAAAGGATAAACGTTGAGGAAATCTAACAATGAACCAAACAAGAATTCTATCCCCTAGCAAATGTGCCAAAGAAATGGGGATGGACTGGACATACTCTGAGAAAATCGTTGAGTGACATCACACCCTAACGTAGAGCCTGAATAAGTAACGGCAAGTGGGACTTCCTAAGGTGACATGTAGAAGATCGTCTGGTTAAAAAGAAAAGAAGCTTCTAAGTAGTCGTGCAGCCAGTTACAAAAGACTTCAGAGAACAGAGTGAAATGAAGATGAGCCACTGAAGGGATATAATAATAATATAATAATAAATAAATAATCTACTTTATTCCCGTGTAAAGTGGCATAATAAGGTGAGCAACATGGAGGTTAGGCGCAGAGTTCTAGGTAAACAGGGGAAATCAATCGACGAAGTCGTGAAGCTACAAAGACTGAGATGGTTAGGACATGTGTTACGTATGCCAAGCCATCGCCTCCCTCGACGAGCTATGTTAGCGGATATAGGGTCAGACTGGAAAAAAGCTAGCGGCGGTCAAACAAAAACTTGGCTTCACCAGTCAATGAAATCCACAACAGTTGGTCTAAGCCACGTAGAAAGGTGTAGACTTCCAGGCTGGGGTCCTCGGGACGGTAAAAATCTATGGTTGGAAACAATTGGTGACATGGCTCAAAACCGTTCACAGCGGCGCAGATGCATCCACTCCCTGTGACTTATGATCTTCAATGAAACTGTTTTGTATTTCTTTATTACTCCTTTGTCTCACACCTCTGCTCACTGTTTCTATTATGCTTTTCTTGTACTTTCTTCTCTTGCTTCGCGTGCTACACGGAATGTGGCGACTTGAACTTCCGCACATTTGTGCAAAGTTCTATGTCGAAAACAGACAGACAGACAGACAGACTTTATTCCAAAAACAGTACTTATAATACAGAATGGAATTCTCAGCATCTGTAACAATATTGCATCTGATTAACTCAAAATATAAATAAAATTAAAAATTAAAACAAAATTAACCATAGGAATTTGTCCACGTTTACAATATAAAGTCAAAAACATTCGAAGTCCTAAGTGAGAATAGTAAATATAATAATAATAATAATAACAGTGAGTTTGTTTCAAACAGTATTGTTGATTCAATTTGAAAATTTTAGCATGTTATAGATTATTGATGTTCTGTTGATATAGCAGCATGGTGAGGGGAAATACAAGATTAACAGTTATACCACAGGTAAACGACGTTCACACTTGTGAGGGAAAAAATCGAGAGAATTATAAATATAAGAAGTACAATAACAATAAAAGTTGATATTGTAAGGGTGGAGGAAATGGTTTATGTAGTGTAGTGCAAAGAAGGCTAGTTGGTTCGTGCCTAACACTATTTTTATCACATAAAGTACGTGCCAAATATGAAGTGGAATATATAGTGGAATTTTTATACTTAGACGTTTTACCTGAGGAGACACAAGGTTAGAGCTGCGGGTAAAGTGAAAAAATTCCTCTAGCAAATTTGTTGCATGACATCAGGTGCCTATCATCAATAACGGTGTCAACAATATGGCCCAATGGGATGCCACTCGTCCTACTGACTGACAGTCTTCAGAGTCCTACGAAGTATGACATAAACTTTTTTTGAGCAATCCAGGAAAGAATAAGCAAGAGTGAACAGTAAAGAAGAATAGGTAAGATGCACGAGTTGACAAACTGTAAGAGGAGTGGTTGGGTTATGCCTGAGTGCCTTAACTTCTTTATGTAAAAAGTTAGACGAAATATTCTTTTCGAAATCGCTAATACACGGGAAGACCAGGATAGGTCAGAAAAAAAGAATCAATCCAAGATACTGAAATTCAGACTTGGTTTCTATATCAGTATCATCAATTTTGCAAGGGTTATAGGAACCAACAGCTTCATTTAACTTTCTTTTATATCGGAAACTGAAATCAACAGTCTGACATTTAGAAGGATTCAGTTTAAGGTCATTAGACGAAAACCATTGGCTGACTCCTGATAGGAAGCCGTTCCACTCGAAACCCAAGGGAATAATAAGAGTATATAATAGTAATTTTACCCACATATTCATATATTTGTAAATCTGATATCTTTGTTTTATTAGATGTTTTAGCGAGGAAATAGGGAGTGAAATCGCTGATTTCCTCCCGTTGCTTTCCTGCATTTACATAGATTGCCGATAGAGGTATTATTTCTTCGCTTAGTTAATTCAGTTGTCCTTCTGTCCCTTGGTTTTAGCCTTTGATCAGGTTTCGGAGTTCCTTCTACTTTGAAGAAAAAGATGATCCAAGTAAAGCCGAAAAATCACTGCGTCCACTACCGAATAGTAAGGTGAGCGATATGGGTTTATACTACTTTATTTTTGTTAGTAGGATAATTAACAAGCTGCCAATTATCTGTAAGAGCTATGATTTCTAAGTTTACCTAACCAATAAAACTACCTTCGAATTTCAGTATTTTTCGAATACATTTTCTATGAAATCTGATTTAAATGCATTGGAATTCGTCTTTCATCTCTTGAATTTTTTAAAGAGTTGGAAATATCTGGAACTATCAAGTTGCAGATTTAAATCAGTACTGTAGAGTTGAAAAGAGAACAAATTAGCATAGATGTCATTGATATCGGGTGAAGAGCCAGGATCACAGCCAACGGGTCATGAGTTCATGTCCCTTTCCGCTCGTTTCAGCCTGGGCAATTAGGTTTATCAACCGTCACACATTAAGTATGGCTGTTATCCAGAGTAATTGAGTCCAAACAAAAAGGCAGATATAGTTTGTTTAATGCACTCCACTTTTGTGTACGTCAACTAGCCACACTGTTGTGACAGTAAATAAACTTGGTCCTCTTTTATCGGCACTCGTGAAGAGATGATGGGACATGCAGTAACCACTCCATGTATATCAATACGTTCTTTCAAGTTAAATTGTAGCCATATTAATCAGACTTCAATGTGTCTGATCGCACTTATTATTTTCATTTTTTGTATAACTGATTGAATGACTCTACATTTTCACACATTTTCTCTCTGATAAGTGATAAGCAGAACAAAAATGTGCAGTATAAGACTGTTTACGACTAACTTGTCGGCTCTGACTCGCTGTATGTCTCCTCTATCAAATGATGGGATCTATCCTACCATATTTCATTTCGTCTAGAGAGGGTATACGCCACTCGGAACGAAAGGAGTGCATACTAATTACATTGGTTATCTCTCTCAAATGTTGACTCCAATACACGTGGTTTACTTCTAACTTCGATTTCATCACGAAACATGGTTGGTGAGCGGATCATCGAATACAAGTGAGCACTAGAGAGCTGTTTCATTCTAGTTTTTGACTTGACATCTAGAATGCCTTTCGTATTACATTTGCGTATTGTGGAGAGATTTCCGAAGAAGAAGGATGATTTAACTCTTCGATGGTCACTGGTTTTCAAGAATTCTCCTACTGATGTTGTTTCAGGATAGATTCTATCTAGGAATCATATGAGGAGAACTAGTCATTTTCAGCCTATCATGTGAACCGAACTCACTGCAAGAGTTCATGGTGTTGAAATGAATTCTGCATCACGTTGTAGTTTGCATACTTCTCAGGAGGCAGTCAATATCGATGAAATATCCTTTTGATGAATTCAGTTCCCAGTAACAGCCAACTGATGTTAACATTTTTATTCAAGAGCAGGCTAATTCTGTTATTGACTTGGATGCATAGTCAGTGAAAGTCCTGAACAGGAATGTGGGTTTCAGTGGAGAATCAATAATGCAGTATGTTCAACTTCCCAGGTGGTGAAATAAGTACGGTTGTCCACGTTGTCACCAAGCTAATCGGGTCATCAGTGACACTTATAAAAATATTTTGTGAAAAGACTTTGTCGTCTCTGTGCATTCACCAATGTTGCTCGTAGATCTACTCTCATGATGGTGGATTGTTCATTCAACTGGTCACTAGGCTTGGTGGCGTCTAGCCAGTAACAATGGTGATCACTTTGTCTAAAATCAGTCATCAGTGTTTCCACCGTGAAGCGAAATTCATGTGAGCAAATATGATGTACAGTTGAAAGCAATTATACCGAGTGGAATAGTATGAATAGTTCACTTATTCCAGATGACTAGAACAGCATTAGTTGAGGTGGAGAGATAGAGAGACGTGAAATCTAGCCAGACAAGAACGTTTTATCTCACTAACGAATATTCAGTAGGAAATGAAGCTTGACTGGATATACACAGTGAAGATCATCGAGTGATACCACACACTATTCCACTCCTCGAATGCAACCTGAACGATCAGTGACAAACATGGTTTCGGTATGATATCAAAACGGTAAATATAATAACCAATAGAATGTTCCAATATCGTCGAAAAAAGCATGTTCCAAAATGGCTACTAAATCATTTAGAAAATCTTAACGCGATTAATCTGAATAGAAATCCAGCATCATCATACATTGCAAAACACTTATTAATATCAGGTCACAAAATCAATATTAATGACTGTTTCAAAATGATTTCACATGACGCTAATTCAAGGTTATTGAAGGTGATGGAAGCACTTTGGGGGATTAATCACATACAGCCTAAACTGTGTACAAAAATCAATAGACTTCAATCTTCGCCTACCCTGGACTACATGACCTTTTACTTATGAATGGTCATTAGTACATACATTTTTATTTTATTTAACTGAGTAATTGTCATGAAATCTATGTTATTACTGTTAACCATGTTAGCTGTAAACCGGTTGCCAAGATACTACGAAATGATAGCATCTCGCGAAATTTGTCTTCATAATGCTTTATTCAAAATAATCAAAGGGACTAATTCT